CCGACTGAGGTTAGCTCAGGGAGACAAGGCAACCTGGCCAAGGTCACAGGGCAGAGGGGAAAGAACCCAAAAGAGGGTGTAGGACTGTCTGACTCCAGGTACAGGGAATGCACTCTCCACCACACCCCAGTTGCCTCGGGGGATCAGGGGCTCCCCCATGACGTGTCCTTTTTGCCTAAGTTAAAAACAAATAAAAGAAAACTTGGCAGAAATGCACACCCCAGGAGTACGTTGGAACGCCTTCTCTTGTCTGGTGTGTGTGTCTAGCAAAGACGTGAGAAATACCTGCCAGGTCTCCTCTTGCCAGAGCCAACGACAGAAGCCACGCAGCACTGTGAGACGCGTCTGCTTGTGTGCAAACCCGCAGGCATTTTTAGCAACTTTGGGGAACATAAAGAAAGCTGTTGGTTTTATTTGCACATATTTTTCGCCTCTGCAGAAGGCTTCTCACCAAGCAGCAGCCTCAGAGTTGGTTTTTATTTGATCTTCAGACACCCAATGTCTTTACAGCTCACTGAGCTTACATTCAATGTAAACATTTCGCAAATTACTTTCACCTGCTCCTGGTTCCCTCCCTTGTAAAATGGGTCTGATCAGAATGGTTCTCAATTTCAATTTTACAGTGGGGGCTGGCTGTGCGCAGATTAAATGAGTTCTATGGCAATGCCAGCCCTCCTGCAAAGCAGTGTGCCCTGGAGGGGGACTGTGGGTAAGCACAGTGGAGGCAGCAAGGAAGAAGGTGGTCTCCATTAGAGTCTGGACCTGGGCTGGAATCTCAGCTCCACTAACCAGGACTGCACAACTACTGACAGGTGATTCAGTCACCCTCACTCCCCAGCCTCAGTCTCCCTCGTCAATGAGAAGAGTGATGCATATCCCAAAGGACTGCTTATGATATTAGAAATAATGTATATAGAGCGTTGGCACTGGGCCTGCATATAATAGTTGTTTGATAAGTGGCACACAGGATTCATTATTATCGTTATGAGTATATGAGTGTTAGGTCCATGAAGACTTAGGAATTTTAGACTGTGAGTTTCTTGAGGCCAGCAGTATGTCTCCTGGCAGCTACTAGGAGAGTTTGAGAACTGGATGAGACGAAGGAAGAAGAGACGGACGGAACACTCAGCAGGGTTGGCTCACGCCTCCAAACCCACTTCTAGACAGCGAGGTCCTTGGGAGCAGAAATGTGTCTTATTCATACCTAGTTCCTAGGATGACAGCACAAATATAGTAGGGTGTCAGAAAAGGTTTGCTGAATGGAGATCCATTAAGAAAATATTTATTGGCCAAAACCGGTTTGGCTCAGTGGTAGAGCGTCGGTCTGCGGACTGAAAGGTCCCAGGTTCGATTCCAGTCAGGGGCAGGTACGTTGGTTGCGGGCACATCCCCAGTTTGGAGGTATGCAGGAGGCGGCTGGTCGATGTTTCTCTCTCATTGACATTTCTAGCTCTCTATCTCTCTCCCTTCCTCTCTGTAAAAAATCAATGAAATATATTTTTTTTAAAAAGAAAAAAAATATTTATTGGATGATTGGGGATTTACTCATATGAAACTCTACAAATGATATAAATAGCCAATTGCATTTAACTACCCTGATCTCCAGGTCTCAGTATCTGTCTCTGTAAAATGAAGGGAAATTAGAAGTATCAGTGCTTTGCTTTGCTTTTAATTCTCTCCTCCTCCTCCTCCTCCTCCTTCTTCTTCTTCTTCTTCTTCTTCTTCTTCTTCTTCTTCTTCTTCTTCTTCTTCTTCTCTCTCTCTCTCTCTCTCTCTCTCTCTCTCTCTCTCTCTCTCTCTCAATAAAATCTTACTCAGAAGCACAGTGTGCAATGGAAATCAAGTGAGTGCTGCTCTGCAGTGAGGGGAATTGCAGCTTCAGGTCTCCTCTCTGCTTCCCCTTACCAAAGAAAGTGTAGTGGGTGCCTCTGGAGCTCTCACACCTCCGAGGTAGCCAGCTCACCGGGACCAGATATATTACCACCAGAAGACATTGCCAAATATGTATTGAGTGCCCAACACACACCAGGATAGTCAGGCTCTTTAAACAGTTATCCGTTTCCTCTTTCTTTTTCTCCTTGACATCTCTTTCTCTTTCCTCCAAATTCTTCATTTTCAAGTTAAAAAAAAATATTTCATTCTTGTTAGCTGTCTTAAATACTTTTGGATAATGAGTTGGAGTTATAAATAGATCTAAATACAAAACATAGTATGTGTTTAATCCTTCAACAAAAACCTGTCAGGTTGGTTTTGTGTGTGCATATTTTTTTTAAGCCTCACTGGAGGACATGCTGAGAGGAGAGAGAGAGAGAGAGAGAGAGAGAGAGAGAGAGAGAGAGAGAGAGAGAGAGAGAGAGAGAGAGAGAGAGAGAGAGAGATCTGCTGCCTTCTATACATGCCCTGACTGGGGATGGAACCAGCAACCCAGGTATGTGCCCTGACCTTGAATCATACCGGAAACCTTTCCGTGCACAGGATGAAGTTCAACCAACAGAGCCACTCCAGCCGGGCAATTTCAGTAATTCTGTTTCATAAGTAAGATCAGCAAGGCTCAGAGAGGAAGTGAAATTGCCAAAGATCTTTCCAGGAAGTCAGTGAGCATAATCCCAACTCCCACCTTGTGGGCGCTGCCTAATCCTGGCACCGGGCTCACTAAGAAGTGTAGGTTTACTAATTTATTTAATCCCCACAAACCCTGTGAGGTGGATACTGTTGCTATAGCCACATTACAGATAAGAAACCAGAGGATTAGAGAGGCCGAGTAGCTTGTCTAGGACCACACAGTCAACAAATGCTGAGCCAAACTTTGTACCCAGCCTGCGTGATGCCCCGGGCCTGGGGCTGTTACCAGCATGGAGCCCCACTCCTGCCTCTGAAGCACCACTCCCAACTCCCCTTGAAGATACTCTCCATACCCTCCTGGTCAGGGCCCAGGGACAACACAGCACAATGCAGGAGCACAAACCATTGAGCGAACCAGACTGCAAGAGGGAAAAGTCAAGTTTCCCAGAGACTTGGCTGTGTGACCTCTGGCAAGTTGTTTAACTTCTCTGTGTCTCAGTTTTCTCAGCCACGAAATGAGAATTACACTCCTAAAAATCTCAGAGGTATTTTTGTAAGGCATGAAAATTCTTAAACAGGCAGTCAAACATCCCTCGAGGGGTCCCAGATTGGAGAGGGTGCAGGTTGGGCTGAGGGACAACCCCCCCATCCCTGTGCATGAATTTTATGCACCAGGCCTCTAGTTCATAACATAATATTTATTATTTTAACCATTCATAAGTTTCCAATGCATGGGGCATTAAATACACTCTTTATATATAGGTCTCTAGTATGACATAAAATTTAACATTGTAACCATTATTAAGTGTACAGTTTGGTGGCATTAAGTACATTCACTTTGATGTGTTACCATCACCACAAGCCACCTCCAGAACCTCTTCATTTTTCTAAACTGAAACTTTGTACCCATTAAACTCCATTCTCCCGCTTCTCCCACTGGGAGACCACCATAAAATACTTTGTCTCTATGAACTTGACTTCTTGAAGTACCTCATATCTGTGCTGTCAGACAATATTTGTCCTTTTGTGATTGGCTTGTCACTTAAGATAATGTGTTCAAGATCCATCTGTGTTGTGGGATAGCTCAGAATTTCTTGCTTTTAAGGCTGGGTAATATTCCAGTGTCTGTGTACCACTTCATGTTTATCTATTTATTCATCTGTCATTGACCTCGCCACCTGTCTATTGCAAATAATGCTTCTATGAACTCAGGTTCTCAGAGCATTATTTGCAATAGACAGGTGGAGAGGTCAATGACTGATCAATTCTCCCTGCCTTTGAGCTGCTTCTGGTCTAAGGTGGGGGATGGCATGTGGATTCACCTGCAATTACCCTGGATAAGTTGCCCTGGATAAGACACCCTGGATAAAAGTTACCCTGGATGAGCCTCTGTTTCCTCATCTGTGAAATGAGCATAATGTTCCCCATGGTGGGTATTAAATGTGATGCTGCAAGACTTAGGGCAATGCTGGCACACTATAAGCATTGATAATGCTGGCTCTGCCGCAGCTGCTGCCACGTTAGGCCAGATGTGGAAAAAGGGGTTAGAAGTCGGAGGGCAGCTTTAGTCTCTCACAAACATCCTGGCAAGCAGGCTTGAAAATCTCGATTTCCCCAATGAAGAAACAGACTCAGAGGAGTGCCTTGACTATGGATAGTGGAGATGGGCCTGGAACTTTCTTACTCAAATCTAGAGAGCAGGGATGACAGAAAGGCCCACAAGAAAGCAGGCGCCTTATATTGATACAAAAGCTCCCTCAGAGGTCTGCCAAGTGCGCTGGGAAGAGCAAGCACAGTTGCCCCAAATGGCCTTGGTGTTGGAGGAAAGAACTGAGAAGGCAGGGGGAGGAGAGGTGTTAACGTGCCCCCAGAGGGTACAGTCTGAGCAAAATGCAAGAGGTGGGAGGTGCCATGTCTGTAGGAGGAATGGGAGGAGACCAGTCTGTGGGAGCAAAGGGTATATGCCGGAGGGTGGGGTCAGGTCAGGAGAGGACAGGGAGGTGGCCCCACCCAGTCTGGTTCCAGTGTCAGGAGGGCCCAGAGGAACTGCCCAAGGTGCTGTCTCAGGGACATTAATCAGACAGATTGGACATGTCTTGTGACAGACATTTGCCTTCACACCACAGGCAATATTTTAAAAATTATACGTGTTTTACCAACATTATATACATAGTTCAAAATGTCAGACAGGCCTTTAAGGCCCATTCCCCAGTCCCATTCCCCTCTCCTCCAACTCTCACTGCCCACAGTCAGTCACTGGCTATGACTTTGTCGAATATTTAACTCCAAAACCTAAATATGTCCCCACATCTCCTTCCCCAGTTCCAGTTTGAGACATGCCCTGTTGGCTAGCTGGGACGAAGAGAAGGGTCCAGCTCCCTTTCCTTGTCGCTTCACCTTGTCCCTATTTCCCAGTCCAGTTACAGCAGAAGCTGGGGTCAGAGTTAGTGTTTATGGTATTGTGACCCTGTCTATCATGGCTGAACCATATCACACTGTGATTAAATTTCTGCCCCTGTACAACCAATTCTTTTTGCTGAAATGAAGGTCTCAGTGTTTAATTCAGTGTGCTTCAGTTTCTAAGTACACTTGTCTGCCTTCTCTTTGTGGGGATGTAAGTCTTTTCCCAGGAGCTCCGAGCTCGCAGGTAATCAATCCATCAACCCACCTTTCATGCTTCCAGAGCGGACAGCATCCTAGTCTAACCTGGACACTTGCTCTCTGCCTGCTTCAGGATGTGCCTGTGCCCAGAGGTGTTTCCATCAGGTCACTGATGCCAGACAAGCGAACAGTTCAGTGCATCCTGGCCCAATCATCATCCGTCTACAGGTTCTATTAAAAATACCTACTGTGTGCTTTCTGGATCCCAAAGAGGCCCAATGTCAGAGGCTAGTGACAGAGATAAGTCAGATGTGGTCTCTGTTTCAAAAGGGTTTGAATCTGAGCCCAGTGGAATAGACAAAGTAGGTGCTGGGCAGAGGAGCTCTGGGAGGTGGGGTGAGGCGCTTAAGAGAAGCCTTTATCTCAGCCTTTGGAGGGGCAGCATGGAAGGCTTCCCGGAGGAGGTGAGGCTACACAAGTCTCAACTTGTCAGGAGGTGTCTTCTAAGAGATCTGGGAAGGGCATTCCAGGCAGGAGAGCATCATGTGCACAGTCATGGGGCCATGAGAAAGCGTGACTCAGTCTGGGGATTTCAAATAATTAGTGATGATCTTGTGGGCGGGTTCCAGTTGAGGGGGAGGCAGGGTCTTGTGTGCCCAGCGAAGGGGCCTGAGGGAAATGGGGAGCCACAGGAAGAACTTACAGAGCAAAGACAGGATCAGGTCCGTATTTTTTAAAAGGCATGATGGCCACAGAGTGTCAGGTAGATTGGACAGAGAGGTGGGCTGGTGAGGGGATGTTGAGGTCTGGAAAAGGATGAAAGGACCTGAGCTAACACTGGCACTGCAGGTGAGGCATGGGCTCATGAGACCTTACAGAGGCCAAGGAGAATGAACATGGGGTAACAGGGAATGTGGAAAGGCTGACCAATAATTCATAGGGATCCAAGATAAAATATATTTCCGTTCAACGCATGTCTCCTAGGAAACTGGAAGCTTCTCTGGGATGGGAAGGAGGGCATTGGCTTCTTGTCTGGGGAACCAGAGGCAAGAGAATGGATGCCCAGGGATGAGGGAGCAGGGACAGGGTCTGAGGTTTTCAGTGATTAGAGAGCAGAGGCAAGATTAAAAAGCCACAAAGTCAGAAGGGTTGGTACAACCTAGTTGGTAAGAGCTTGTAGGGGTGTGTGAGCAGGGACCATCAAGCAGAGAGAGGGGTGCTTTTGAAGCACAGTGCCCTCAGTGTGTTGGAAGTCAAGGCTCATCTTATTCCAGAAACAGCACCAGACAAGGTGTTTCCAGCTGGAGAGCAGTGGACAGGGGATGGCGGGGAACGTGGTGGCAGCCCACAGTGGAGAACAGCAAGATGCCTCAATGCAACACCAGGGGATGTGGATGCCACATGGGGTGCAAACAGGAGCCTCCCCACTTGGTAAATGTGGAAGTGGTCGGATCCCTGAGAGAGTTCACGGGACACAAAGGCACTGCGGAGGGGCAGGGTGTGAGTGGTACTGTGACCCTCACTGTATGGAGGAGGAAACAATCCCAGAGATGATGTGAGTAGGGAGGACTGCAGTGGCTTAATGTAAATGTGAACGTGAATATACATCTATGTATGTGTCTAATCATACTTTACAACTGCATGGATATAAAGGCAAGTACTTTAGTAATACACGCTAAAACATTGTATTTCATCTAAACTTGGTGGCCCAAGACCTGTTGTCCTTAACAAGCAAGTTGCCCTGGATATGAGTTGCCAGCTCTTTCAGCTCTTTGGGCCCTGCCGCCAGGACTGGGTCTTCCTGGAATGGATGGACGGTCCTTTCATGTGACAGCTAGTCCCTAAGGCCCTTTCAGTTGGGACATGCTGCACCATCAAGGACTTCTCATCCCAGCCACCCAGGGAGAGGGCCGATGGCTGTTTGAGTTTGGAACCAGATGGTGCGCTGAGTGACAGGTAAAGGAGGGAGAGCTGCGAATGTCCCTGGGTTGGGAGGGAAATCAAAGTTCTTTGTGTCTGCAGATGTCTGCAACTTTGCTCTGGGTGCCACCTACCACGTCCACCCTGTGGACTGGGCTGATTGTCTACCCCACCCACTGGGAGGGTGCGGAGGCTGAGTCAGAGGCAGCTGCCAAGGATGTTGTATCAGGAAAAGAAACAGCACCGTCTGTCTGTCTGTCTGCCTGCCTGCCTGTCTGCCTGTCTGCCTGCCTGCCTGCCTGCCTGTCTGGGGTTCCAGGGAATCCTGCCTGGAGGTGGGAGAAGCGTGCCATTCTTTCTTTGTGTGTCAGCCCCTCATGAAGCCCAGGAGAATGGCTGGGGCTTCCACAAGGGCAGTCCCTTCCTCAGGTTTTCCTTACAGATCCCTCACCTACCTTCCTTTTTGTTCCTCCATATGCCCAGGGTAGAGGCAGGTAGGCCTGGTTTGTGAGCGCCAGACCAGTCCTCCCACTTCCTCCCCTTGACCACCGATGTACCTGGGTAGATAAGCAAGAGACAGCACAGAGAGTGCCTATCTGAGAAAGAAAAATAGGTCTAGCCTAGCTATCCCTTTAGGTCTCAATTCAAATCACATTTCCTCATCTTCAAATCACATTTCTCCAAGCTCCAACCCCCTCCTACTAGGTATTTATAATGGACGAATAGATGGAGGAATGAATGAATGCTCAGCTTTTCCCAGTCTTAGAAGTCACTGATACTTCTGCCCTCCAATTCTTGTGGTCAGGTGATAGAAACCAACTTCCTCTAAAAGAGGATAGAAACTGAAACTTGTAGGTTTGGAGAAAACTTACTGAGAATGTTCCCACCTGCTCACTTCTGTCTTCTTTATGAAGGCTGAGAGTTTGGTGGAAAGATGACGGATAAAGTTTGGAATTGCTATTGTACAGAAGGAGAGTGATCCGATTGGGGGGGGTGTAGATACATTACAAGGCAGTGCATGGGCCCTGTGAGTTTTGGTGGTGAGAGTAATAGCTGGTATTTCTGGAGCGATTATTATGGGCCTAACACTGGACCAGCACTCTACTCACATGACCTTTCATCATCTCACCCACTGAGGGGGCAGGCACCTCAGTAGGAAGAGCCAGGTCATGCTGCAGAATTTTTTTTTTTTAATTTTCTAAGTGGCTTACAGACACAAATGTTTATTTCTTGCTCTTGCTATTTGTCCCTCCATCCATGTGGCAGAAGAGATGTGGCAACAGTGAGAATCCAAGGAGGTCTGAGAGGCTGGAGCTCCAGAGGAGGTCCTAGAGCCAGGTTGGTAAAAGCTCTGGAGAGATAAGAGGAAGGGCTGAAGAGTGAGACCGCAAGGTTTGAGATTTCATGAGTGGAGCAGTAGCCAACCAAGATAAGAGCCAGGTGTGGCTCTAGTGGAGTGGATAGCATACAGTCAAGGTGAAGGTCCCTGGAACTGGGCAGTCAAAGGTCTGACCAATGGAGCCATGTTTTCATTCCTTGAGGACAATGGGGGTTCAAAGAAGGATATAACTAGCCTCCAGTTAAGTATTTTGCAACTTCCTGGGCTACGTTTTACCAGGAAATGAGCTTTGGAAATAAAGTATGCTTTTTTAATAGTCAAATATGCAAATATAAAATGGAAGACCTCAGAGAAAGGTGTCTGTAGAAGCCCACTGCCCTCTACGCCACAGGAAGCTGGAGAAAGACCAGATGTAGAAGAGTCACTTAAAAGTCACAAATGACCACAACCTGACGGATCGGGGTGCAAACATCCCATGGCCAGAGTGCTATTAAAATTGCCTTTCAAAGATAATAACAGTAGCAGTTCACAGTTCACGAGAGTTTATGATACTGTTCTAAGCACGTTAGATGTACAGTCACTTCAGTTCTACCATGATTCCCCACTATAATTACTATAGTAATTACTATAGTTCCCATTTATTGGTGAAGAAGAAGAGTGCCTAGCACAGCAGGAGTTATGTCGCGTGGCTAAGGTAGCACACAAATGTGCGTCAAAATGGGATTTGAACTCAGGTGGGCTGGTATTGGAGCCCGCACTCTGAGATGCTGCACCAGTGGTTCCCGCATGTTGAGCAGCAGAGTTGGCTGGGCTTGTGAAAGCACAGGGTTGTTCCCTCCCCTAGAAGTCTGAGGTAGGGGCTGGGCTGCGGTTTGCATTTCTAAGAAGTTCCCAGGTGATCCTCAGGCTGAGGGTCCCAAGACCACACTTCCTTGTGAAACACACAGCTACTATAGCAGACAGTAAGTAAGCATCTCATTCCAAATGCCTGGCAGCAAGTGTGTGTGTGTTTGTGTGTGTGTGTGTGTGTGTGTGTGTGTGTGTGTGTGTCACAGAGAGCAGAGGATTATGGCTCAAGTAGAACTAGGAGGCAAAAGAAGAAACTTGATCTAGCCTTTTGGCCCTGAGGGATGGGGGCTATGGAAAAGCAAAAACCATCTCCACAGAGACAGTGAGGAATACAGGTGATTTGAGACAGAGGCACACAGAGCAGCCAGATTTTAAGCCAAGTGTCTTGGGAGCAGCGCAGTGTCGTGGGGGCAGAGTGGGAAGAGGAGACAGAAGCAGCAGCCATGGGCCAGGAGGGGTGAGCGTGTGATGTGTGGGAGGGAAGGGGTAAGGAAGACAGCCGCTGTCTCAAGAGGTCTGTGAGGAGAGAAGTACAGGCAGGCCATCCCGGAGGCCTTCCTGAGGATGATGGTCACCTTCCCCTCTAGAAATTTCCTGGGGCCAGTGATGACAGACAAGATAGGAGCTGATGCCTGACTACAGGTTCAAGAGCTGAGGCTTCCCACAGAAGGGAGTGAGCTAGAGCCAGGTGACAGCCTTGCAGAGCCAACCTTGAAACCTTCAAGTCAGGGGTCACCGCATGACCAACTCTGCCTCCCGGAATAAGCCATCCACCCCTCTCAGCCATGGCCTTTGTGTGACCGAGTGGTGCCACCTCCATCCCCCGCCGCAGTGTCTCTTTCTCTCTCTCTGCAGCGTGGGGTCTGGCTTACTTACGAGCTCTCCCAGTCAATTAGTCCTGATCACCTCTCTAATTGGGCACCAGCTGTGTTTTCTCTCCACAAGAACTCTTTTATGGGCCTTCTAAAATGCAGTGCATGAAAACACGTAACCGTTTCAGTGGTACGTGACCATATAACTAGGACACTTCTTTTCCACAGAAATGAAGAGTGCATCTCTCTATGTTAAGAAGATATTCTTTTGGAAAGTTTGGAAGGAGGGCAAGGAACAGTAAGTCCTCCGTTTGTTTATGTTCTGGATGTGAGCACTGACGGTGGTTTTGAGCAAAGCTTTGCATAATCACAGGTGTTGGTACATAAAGATTCGGGAAGTTTCCTGGAAGAAAAGGGAGACTTGAGAAACTGCACCATGAATGGCTCCATTTATGAGCAGCCACCAGTGATTGACAGAATGACTGTTAATAATACCTAATATTAGCTGAGCCCTTCGTAGAGGCTTAACCCTACACAAGGCACTTGGCATGGATTGTCTTGTTTAAACCTAGCAATAGTCTAGAACAGTTTCCCAAACTTCTCTCATGATGAGCATCACCTGGTGGATGTTCAAGTTAAGCTTACAATTTTATCTATATGTTTCCAAAAATTCTAGTTTAGCACTTCTTAGTTGGGATTCAGGAATCTGTATTTTAACAACTCCACCAGGTGATGCTCATCATGAGAGAAGTTTGGGAAACACTGGTCTAGAACATGTTGTAAATATTCTCCCCATTTTCACAGATCAGGAAACTGAGGCCCAGAAAGGTGAAATAATTTTTATTCAAGGTCACATGGCTCACCATTATTCAAGGTCACATGGCTCACCATTAAGTGGCTGAAATAGACACACACCCAGGTCTGTCTCCTGCCAAAATTTCTTTCTGCCTTTCTCCAGCTAAGCAATGCAATGAACTTGCAGCACTCAAGAGCTCTGGTTGCAACAATTGCAATATAAACAATGATCCTCATTATTTGTACGGAATTTCACAGTTACTAAATTCTTTACTGTTAGACTTCTCATGTATAATAATCTATGAGAAAAACAAAGCAGTGGTTATAACCCATCATCACAAATGTGGGTCCATAGGTACTAAGGCACTAGATCATTTACCCAGACACAAGCCACCAGCAAAGAACAGAGTCAGACTTTTCTAATTCCTACTCCAAATCCACCACTTTCACCCCTCTCTCACTGTGGTGCTTCCCCTTCAGTAAGTGCGAGATATATTTACATATATTTTTCCAGCCATTCGTTAGAAAAATTTTCATTCCTTCATGTATCCACTCAGTCATATTACATTTCTGTTTTCCCTGTTCTGATTCTTTATGTTTATTTAGTGCTGTCTGTCTCCCCTCTTTAAAATGTTAAGCTCCATTCTCCTCAATAATTATATTTCCAGCCTCCAAAAAGTGCTTTATAGCACTGAAGTATTTATTGTTCAACTCATTCAAACAAATAATAATTCACTAGAGCCGTGGTCGGCAAACTGCGGCTCGCCAGCCACAGGCAGCTCTTTGGCTCCTTGAGTGTAGCTCTTCCACAAAATACCATGGCCTGGGTGAGTCTATTTTGAAGAAGTGGCATTAGAAGAAGTTTAAGTTTAAAAAATTTGGCCCTCAAAAGAAATTTCAATCATTGTACTGTTGATATTTGGCTCTGTTGACTAATGAGTTTGCTGACCATTGCACTAGAGGCCTGACGCACAAAAATTCGTGCAAGAATAGGCCTTCCTTCCCTCGGCTGCTGGCACTGGCTTCCCTCTGGCACCCAGGACCTGGGAGCCCACCAGGATCCAGGCTGCTTCACTCCTGCTGCTGCCAGGCATCCAGAACCTGGACTGAGGTGGTCAATGCCACCTCATGAAGACCAGTCATTTGGTCATTTTAGCTGTGACGCCTCTCAGCCTTTTATTATGATTCCCTCAATAAATGTTTATTGAGCATCTACTATGTACTGGTCACAAGTAGGTCCTGGGAACAGGCATGATTTCCCACTTCCGTGGAACTTATATTTTAAGATGGAAGAGGGCTGTACACAAGTAAATAAATACTTTCTGATTGGGATTTGTGCCATATGAGGACTTAGAGTAATTTGATAGAAAGTGACAGTTACTCAGTTCTTGTCCAAAAGCTGTTCGCATGCTAGGGGGCCACCAGGCAGTTTCTATCTCGTGGGAACAGTGGGGGTTTGAGACTCTGAAGCGGTGATCTTAGTCCCCAGGGCTGGGCTTGGGCAGGTGGGGGCAGAGAAGGCTTCCTGAGTAGGCAGCACCTGAGTGGTTTTAGAAGACAAACAGGAGTTCTCTAGGAAAGGGGTGGGGAAGATTCCAGGCTCATGCGAGGACAGGTGGCAGGAGGCCAGCTGGCACGAAGCGAGGGGTGACAGAGCTGAGCCTGTGAGCGGAGAAGAGAGGGAAGAAAAGTGGTGAGGGAGATGCGCATGGACCAGGTCCAAAAGTATCACGTTGTGATGGGTGGTGTTATGTGTCAACTTGGCGAGACCATAGTTCCCAGCTATTCAGACACGAATCTCTGTGTGGCTGTGAAGGTATTCTGCAGATGTGGTGAATGTCACAATCAGTTGACTTTAAGTAGAGATTATCTTCAGTTATCTGCTTGGGCCAAGTCCAATCACTTGATAGGCCCTCAGAGCAAAGTGGAGATTTCCCTAAGGCAGAAGGAATCCTGCCTGGGACTCAGTGTCACTCCTGCCAAAGACCGTCCGGCAGGCACACTGGGCTGCCTACACTTTTGGGACTTGCTTAGCCAGACCCCACAGTCACAGGAGCCAATTCCTTTAAATAAATTTCCTGATAGTCAGATAGATGCTAGAGAGACAAACAGACAGAAAGATCCCTAGTCTCCTGTTGGTTCTCTTTCTCCAGTGACCCCTGGGAACTGACTCACATTTAACCAGTCAAGTGGACCTCATCCTTGAGGTCATAGAAGGGAGTCTGGAGGCGTGGAATCAAGGAGCAGCATAACCAGCACTGTGCTTCATAACGTGGCTCTGGCCACAGCGAGGCGAGGATCAGAGGAGCAAGACTAGCAAGTCAGAAGCAGTTTCCTGAACAGAATGGGAGGACTCAATCAAGTGATATCTCCAAAGCAGAACTGACAGGACTTGATGTCCAATGGCACATGCAGGGTGAGGAAGAGAGCTGTGAGGAGTCCCAGGGTGTGGGACGTCTTGGCCAAGGGAATGTAAATGCTGTGACAGCAGGAACTTGGTTCTGTTCCCTGCTGTCCCCTTCACACCTAGAACAGGAACTGGTCTGGAAGAAAGGTGCTCCCTGCATATGAATTAAATGAATGGCGGTGCGATTCTCTGAGTCTGGATCACGGGGTGGGGTGGGTGAGGATGAGGAGCATACAAGTGCAGTTGGGGGCCTGTGAGTCTGCTGGAGCTGGCAGCCAGCAGGAGGAGAGGGCCGGCCAGGGGAAGCTGGAGAGACAGTCTGTGTACAAGGGGCAGTTCCAGGACAGAGCCATTATTATTATTATTATTATTATTATTATTATTTATTTATTTTATTGTTTTTTTACAGAGAGGAAGAGAGGGATAGAGAGCTAGAAACAGCCATGAGAGAGAAACATCGATCAGCTGCCTCTTTCCGACCCCTCTCTGGGGATGTGCCCGCAACCAGAGTACATGCCCTTGACCAAAATCAAATCTGGGACCTTTCAGTCCGCAGACTGACGCTCTATCCACTGAGCCAAACTGGTTTCGGGAGAGCCCGAGCCTTTGACCTAAACATGGGGACTGTGCCTGAGGACAGGGGTCAGAGCACCTGAGGGTATGTGGAGTGAGGAGGAAGGAGATTGGATCTAAATCTTGAAGAAATTGTAGCATTTTAGGACTGGCACAGGGGAAGGACCCACCAAAAGAGAGTGAGAAGGAATGAGAGGAGGAAAATGAAGAGAACGAAGCGGTAAGAAGCGAGCGAGCAAGGAAAGGTGCTCTTGCTGCTGCCGAGGTCCTGTCACTTAGACTTACAGTAGTGACCTTATCAGGAGACTGAAGGGTGGGGAGGCAGACAGAGGGCCAAGTGCAGACATCCGAGGAAGGCGTGGGAAGTGAGGGAGGGGAGCAGTGTCTCCAGTGGTCTCTCCCAACCTCCCTTCAAATACTGACGGGACATCACCAGCCCGTGCTATTAAAGAATGTGAAACCCAGGCACTGAGGATAAAGTTAGTTAAAAGCCATCGCAGGGGCAAAGGGCGCTGTGCTATAAGGCACCAGATGCTCAGACCACATACTACCCTGGGTGACTCAGCAGGATGCAGACTTTAAAAAGAGTGGGTGTGCTGGGTGGGGCAGGTGCTGTCGGGCAGATGGCTGCCACGTGCAGGGCAGGAGCTCCAGGGTGTGCGCGAGAACATTTTCTCAAGGGGAACCACCTTCCCTCGAAACAGTTTGTTCTGCTGAGTTGACAGGAGAGGAAAGGGGACTCCTCAGTCCTGGGCCAGGTGCCAAACACGGCACAAAGGCAGAAGGCGCTGAGAGGCTTGAGCTGACTGCAGCCCCTACCCTCACCCTCAGGGGGCCAGGCATGGCCATCCCAGCCCCTCTGCCTTCTCAGGGGGCAGGAAGGAGGCTGCATGTGTGGGATTCATGTGTCTGTAACTAACACGAATCAGCACTTACTGTGGGCCAGGCTCTGTAGTCATCATTTTTACATGCCTGAGCTTATTTAATCCCCACAACATTTTTTTTGTGTGTGTGTGTGAATGTATGATTGTTTTTACTTAAGGGTGAAAAATCGAAGGCCCAGAGAGGCTAAGTCTCTTGCCCAAAGCTTCACAGCTAGTTCTGCAGGTGGGACAGCAGAGAGGCTTAAATCTTGAATCTGTGGGGTGGACGACTTATCTAACCCTAGAGTGTAAGTTCGAATCCTTGGTGGGCATGGGGTGCAGGTCAGGCTTCACTCCAGCTCTGGGATATTAGGTAAGCTACATCAAGGCCCTGAGATTCTGTCTCCATCTGTGAAATGGGAGGCAGCTCACTCCATAGGATGATAACGGGGAGAAAAGGAAATGTTTACAAAGAGTTTCCCCGAGTGTCTAGCCCAGGGTACTTGCTCCATAAATGTTGGCTCTGTTTCCCTTTCCTTTTCTTTTGGAGATGTCTGTCTTGAACCTGTGGGTTAGATTAGGGCAAGAGCACTGGTCTCTGAATCAAACCCATCAGGGACTGAATGCTTCTTCTGATAACTATTAGTTATTTAATTTTAAGCAAGTCACTTTCCTTCCAGGGCTGCAATCTCCCCAATTATAAAATACGAGGTGATGGATTTAGTCCAGAATGGCGTTCAAGTCCCCACAGTCCCTTCCATCCCT